TTTCCTATTTCTACGATTAAAATTAATAATAATAATAATAATAATAATAATAATAATAATAATAATTATAATTATAATAATAATAATAATAATAATAATAATCTATATCTATTTATATACGCAGTATATAAAAGTAAAATTCTCCTATTTTATTTTTCCGCCCAAACTTTTGTAGTCAATTAATTAAATATTTGTATTAGCCTATTAGGTAAAAGTTAATTAGGAATATTAATATGATAAATTGATTAGGAATATCAATATAATGAATTGATTAGGAATATCAATATAATGAATTGATTAGGTAATACCTTAAATAAATAAATACACTTTTCTTTTGAAAAATCTTACAAATTTATAATTCTCATATTTTTTTTGATTTAATTTATAATTCTCATATGTCTCACCTATGAATACAATAAGTTGATAACTAAATAAATTATAAGTCTTCATTTTACATTGCATCCTTCTTTACCCTTGTATGTGACTCTCTTATTCCCTTCTTTCACCGACTGTTAAAAAATCATATTACAACTTTATAATTCACATGTAATGAATATTAATACTTGAATATTAATAAGTTACTAAAAATATAAAAATTACTGATATAAAATGTATTAATACAAATGTAAAATGAAGTTTGCATCTCAACGTTTAGCCGAGATGGAAAGAAATATTAATCTCGGTTATATATTTTATAAAATGTAAAGTTACTGGAAATATAAAAAAAATTGTTATTAATAATTAATTAATTAATATGTATTAAAAAAAATATAATTGACTGAGAATAAAAATGACACAAAATTTATGCCAATTGAAATAGGAAATGACTATTAACAATTGACTAAAAATGAAAAATGCTAAAACTGACTCAGTACATGGAAAGAATAGTAATCTCGGTTATATATTTTAGAGTTAATACTCAAAATAGTCCCTCGACTATGTCGTAATTACTAATTTGGTCCTCGACTATCATTCTTACACAATTAAGTCCTCAACTATACAATTTTTACCCAATTTAGTCCTTTGTCAATTTGACTGTTTGTTGACTGTCAAAAGTGGAAATAAAGTTGTAATTTTACAAGTTTTCTCCTTCCTCCTCATTTAGCAGCGCCAAACCATATAGCAATAAGCTCCGGTTGGGTTCTAAACCTGTCAGCATCGAAGTAGTGGTTATGCATCGGATAGCCCATGAATTTGATTTCCAACGTTTTTTTGACGATCGAAATCTGATCAGAGTGTATTGCTGCATGGTTTGGCGCTGCTAAATGGAGAGGAAGGGGAAATCTTGTAAAATTATAATTTTATCCCGACTTTTAACAGTCAACAAACAGTCAAATTAATACAGAGGACTAAATTGGGTAAGAATTGTATAGTTGAGGACTAAATTGGGTAAGAATTGTATAGTTGAGGACTTAATTGAGTAAAAGTTACATAGTTGAGGACTTAATTGGGTAAGAATGGTAGTTGAGGACCAAATTAGTAATTATGGCATAGTCGAGGGACCATTTTGGGTATTAACTCTATATTTTATAATAAATATAAGGTTTAGCTGAGATGGAAAGAATATTAATTGGGATAGAAATTTTTAATTTTTACACCAAATGTTATTTTATACTAGGAATATAAGGATTGTGTAATTATAAGGTTTAGCCGAGTATGTAAAAAAAAAAAAAGAAGTTAAGCCGAGATGGAAAAAAAAATACTAATATCGACTATATATTTTATAAAATGTAAAGTTATTGGAAATATTAAAAAAAATCTGTATATATATGTTAATGGAAATATAGCTATGTAAAGATATATATTTACAAATGGAAAATTGAATAAAATCGTTTAGTATCCACAATTTATAAGGAAATTTGTGTAATTAAAGATGAAAATGTTCTTGCAATACGTATGAATGATTCAAAATAAATTAATTATGACTGATTTTGTCGCACACTTTTATCTAAAATTATGGGACCCATTGTAATACGTATATATAAAAATGTGTAATTATGTATATAATGTGTAAGGAAGATTTTGCTTAAAGATGGAAAACAAATTAGGCCAATTGGAAAAGGGAATGAATATTAATAATTCACTCAAAATTAAATATGATTCCTAGATATAATTCACATATTTAAAATCTCTAAAGTTTCAGCATGCGTACATCTACACATTGACTATTAATTGGACAATTATTTGCTCGAATTCAAGCAATGATAACATTGAAAAATGCAATCAATCCAACTCAATTCTTCAATTGCATTATATAATATTCGATGTAATCTACTATACTAATAAGAGCCCAAGAGAGTTAGGCCTATAATGGGTAGAAAAAATGACGGTCACAGATTTTAATCAAATGAATGACTCAGATTGATTAAAAGATTGATAAGATTTAAATTTTACATTAAAATTTCCTAAAATACCCACACACCGTTACTAATTCCGTTAAAATTTTAAGAATTGCCCTTAGTTCACCGTTAACTTACTCATTGATTTCAATAAAAAAAAAAAAGGTCTTAGGTTCGAACCTCATCCCAAACAAAGTTGGCATAATTAGTACTCTATTTTACTCTTATTAAATTATATAAATAATAACTTAGTAGCTACAACAAAAAATTATAGATATGCATTTCTTTAATTTAGAATTATGTGTCCACAATGTCTTTATTCAAAAAAAAAAATATTCATTATCAATAAATTAAATAAGAGAAATAATTTGCATTCAAAAAATAAGAGAAATAATTTTATTAGTTATATTGTCTTTATTTTTCTACAATATAAAAATTCTTTATATTCAAATTTATTAATTGATTATATTCACTACATTGTCCTTAAAATGTCTTATTTCAGTGAAAAAAAATTATTCATTATCAACAAATTAATTAAGATAAATATTTTCATTAATTATATTGTCCTTATTTTTCTCAAATGTAAAAATTTTTACATTCAAATTCATCAATTGATTATATTCACTACATTGTCTATTATCTTTTTTGTGCACTATTTTTCTAATTAAATATCAAAGTTATAATACAAAATAATTCTATATATTTATTTACCAAGTATTTTATTAATACCATGAAAAAATTAAAAAAAAATATAATTAATAAAGCCAACCATATTAACTAGAGAGATTTTGTGACAAAGAGTGTATTCAAATCACACAACAAATTGAAGTGAGAACTACCTTACAATGTCCTTGTTTGACAATTAGCCGTTAGCGGTTAGCGTTAGTGGATTATATTAGCGGATTTGACCAACGAATTTATTTAATTATTAACATTGGGTAGAAAAAATGACCGCCAAATTATTAAATCAAATGAATGGTTCAGATTGTTCAGGTTTTAATTTTTTTCTTTTAAGTTTTTCTAATTTATCCTTAATTATATGATTATCCATTTAACTTTTCAGTTAAATACCGTTAATTCACCGTTAGTCTAATTCTAATATTAAAGTCTAATATAGAATTATAACTACACCATCAATCTAATTCTAATATTAAAGTCTTAATAAAACTTAACCACAAATCCTAATGTCGAAATCTCCTCAAACAATATTAGTATATATTTAATATTTTATGCCCTAATTTTTATTTGTTCTTCCTTATGTCCCGTATTTGGTTTCAACCATACCTATACAATTATTTTATTGACAATTATAATCAATCTTGACTATATTATCTTGCATTTGTAAACTTAGAATTACCTATTTAACCCGCACGTGCTTAGCTCAATGGTTAATTTAGTGGGCAGTATTTGGGAGAAGAGACCAAGGTTTGAACCTCGGCGGCGACAGTGCGGGAATTATGTCCAAAGTGGGCAGATTGCTTGTGCGCACCTGCATTTGGTCCTGTCTGCTAAATCATTGAGTCACCGTGATTTACAACTTCCCACAATGCTCTGTCGGGTCGGAGTGTGGGGACCCTTGGGGTTGGGGACTCAACCTTTGGGAGAAGAATTACCTATTTAAATACGCAAATTCAACCTTCAATTATCTATGCATGAACAATTTCAATATAATCTTACCTTAATATACTTTAAAGTACTTATTTAAAAAAAAAAAAAACAAACAAACATTGGGCATTATCCCAATCGCGCAATGCGCATAAAAAACTAGTAATTTATATAATTGACATGTATATCGATCTAAATATTCTAAAAATATTTTAACAAAATCATTCCGTGCATCGCACGGATGAAAATACTAGTTTTTAATAAGAACAACATGATTAACAAAATGTATTTAAAAGCGTAAAATTGATTTTTACCCACGACACGAAGACATTATTAGGGTTACCAAGGACCACCCGCCTTGTGCTCTGTCGAAGATCCGACCGCCTCCGTTCAGGTGTTTCTAGCATTATTCGTATTTAGTAGCGTTAATACTTCAATACAAGCTATTCTTGTGTTTATTTTTTTTGCTGTTAGTAAAAATTTTCAGTTTTTTTTTTTTTTTTTTTTTGTTTTTTTTTTTTGTTTTTTTTTGTTTACTTCAGCTTCAATTTGATCTTCCAGACGTTAAAGCCCTTTGTTTAGAAATACTCTAACTCTGAGACTGATAGGTTCGCCCTAACCAGTTTCTATTTGTTTACTTTCCACCGTGTAGAAGGAAGAAGCTAATGATATAGTTCAAATCACTCTGTGTTATTCTTTTTCCACTTTGTGTATATCTGCTTTGAGGTGAATAGTTTGGGTTTTCATGTAGTAATGTATTCATTGGATACGATAGTTTGCAGATATAAATGTCACTGTCATTATTATTATATTATCAAATGGTTAACTTTTCAAGGTTAAGTATTATAGGCACAAGAGATAGGGAATTTGGGTTGAAAAGAAAACTAAAACAAATATTGTAAACTATTCTTTTACAATTGGATTTTCTAATGCTGGTTTCTCCTTTATTACGAATGGAAATCTCAGGAAATAGCAAACGGAGGGCCATGGATGATAGATTTATTAACTTGCCAACGGATGTTTTAAACTGCATCCTAGATCACTTGCCTGCTCGAGATGCAGCAAGAACAAGTATTTTGTGTAGAAAATGGAGATACATATGGGCTACTTGATCCCAAGGATATAGTCACTGTCACCAAAAATGATTTTGTTGGAATAGGCAATCGAATTCTCTTTCAGCATATTGGACCCATTCTAACTTTTGATGTCAACCTTTCAGATGTACAAGTGTCACAGTACCCAAACATTGATCCATGGATACTATACTTGTCAAGCCATGGATTGAGGGAACTCACAGTGAGGAATTCCAGTAGTCATTTCTATAAACTTCCCTCTTATATATTCTTGTGTCAACAACTTACGTATCTGAATCTCACTAACTGTATCTTCAAACAACCATGTGGTACTATAAGAAGCTTTCAAAACCTTAAGGAGCTTTTTTTGTATCAAGTTGCTTTCAAGCCAGAGGTTTCTGCTTCTATCTTTGCTGCATCAAAGCTTGAATGTTTGAACGTAGAAATGTGCAGTGGTATGGATCACTTGAACTTTGATTGCTGTTCACCATCACTTTCCTCCTTGGTACTTTACAAGAATCACGGGGTTAAACTGAGTTGTTTTATGAACTGCAAAAGTATTCAATGTGCATACCTTGTATTGCCAATGGAAGTTATATCTTTTAGTCCTGGTGAGAGGATCAATTTAGCAAGCTTTTTTGAACATTGGCCTATAATTTCAAGCCTTTCTCTGGATGGATACCTTCTCGAGGTACAATCTCTTTTAAGATTTCGATTCTTATTTCCCGAACAATGTGTTTAGGTTGCATTATCATTTTTCTCTGTGCTGGTAAGCTTTTGGCTGCAGGCTCTATTATGAGTGCACTTCCACTTAAAATCAACTACCTGAGGGATCTTACACTATTTCAAGTTGAATTTACCGAATTGGTACAAGTCTCCAGCATCCTTTGCTTGCTTCACAGCTCTCCTAGGGTGCATAACCTTGAAATTTGGATGGACGTGAGAAACTTATGGCGTACTTACATTTATTTATTTATTTCAATTCTACCTTACTCTCAGTGTTGTGCTTTGAACTTATTTCAGTTTTGTTGTATGTATAGGTTCCAACAGCGACTGCTGACAACAACCTCGTTTTACAGTATTTGCAAGAACGTAGCTGCATGAGCGAGGAGATTAACAGTTTGCGGTTTTTGAAGATAAAATTTTTCCAGGGGTCAAGAGCTGAAATGCTATTTGTAAAGATAATACTTGCGTGCTGCCCGGCCTTAGAAAGGGTTAGTTTTGAGGATAAGGAAGTAGAGGCATCGGAGGTCTCTAATATCTTGAAAGAGTTAGTGGTATTCCCTCGAGCTTCAAGGAAAGCACAAATCATATTCTGAACTTGTGACAAAAATTATTTGGTTAAAGTTTTCAGTTTCGCAGTTTGAAATCATGTTGGATTAGTTCCATATAGGTACCATCCCATGTAGGCGTTGCTTCGGTTTAGTTCTTTTTTTTTTTTTTTTTTTTTTTTTTTTTTTTTTTTCGGATTTTCAGTTTTAAAAAAATTAATCTTTCTGTTTAATATTAGTGTTCAGTTTCTATTTGGTTTTGTTTCGGATTTAAAAATAATGTCCAATGGTGGAGTGTTAAAAATACTAGTATTTTTATCTGTGCGATGCATAGAATGAATATGTTGTAAGATATTAAGAATATTGAATAGATATATAATTATTTAAATTAGAACATCAAATATATAGTGTAATTAAAGATATAGTTTGGATCGTTTATGTATTTTTATGTTATCATTGCTTGAATTTGTGCAAATAATTGCTCAAATTAATAGTTAATGCATGTCTAGATGTACACAAGCGGTGCTATAACTTTGATGATTTTATTTATCATTGTTTAGTATATATCATTGTCTGTAAAATGTTTTTTTTTTTTAAAAAAAAAAAAAACTAAAATAAAAAGTCATTAAGCTAAACCAGTCTTTTGGCTTCTCAAGACTTTGTCAACATTGATGCGCAAGCAATATGTTTGGAAGAAGAGCATTGCTCAAAGCTCCTCTTTCCAAACATTTTCGATGTGGGATCAAAATGATCCCACATCATTTACAAAGGGGAGCTCGTGGTTCCGCATTGTCTTTTTTTTTTTTTTTTTTTTTTTTTTTTTTTTTAAATTTAAATTTTATTTTGTATATAGTTTTGTTTTGATTATTATTATATTATTAATATTAATATTAATGTAATTTTATTTTATTATTACATTATTACATAATAATAACAATAATAATATAAACAATTAATTCCATTTTTTGTCCTAGATTTATAGGTGACAATCCACTTTTAGTCCTTTTTTATTAGAACATCCTCATTTAGTCCTAGTATTATTGTGGCATGACCATTTTTAGTCCTCATTCAACAAAATTGTTGAAATATCATTAAATATAAAGACATCTCAATATATATATATATATATATATATATATATATATATATATATATATATATATATATATATATAGTTAATTAGGCGGGAAGTTAAAGTTCATGATTTTGTTTTTATATATAGTATAGATATAGATTAGAATAGGAATTGTATTACACTATTTTATAATATTATAATAGAAATTTTAACCTAGAACTATAGTACGAATATGAAAGAAGAAAACAAATTCTCATATTCAATTTGGAGAGGCGATGGAGGGTAGACAATATAAAAGGGAGGCTGATTCATTCTCCTGATCATCGATTTTACTCCGGACAGCAATTCCGGCCGGAGGTAATTTTCCAGTAAGCGGCGGTGGTGCGGCAGTTCTGGTGGAGTTCACAGGTACGACTGTAAGCAGTGAAAAATTTAGATAATATTGTTGGACCGTGGTGGATAATTGATTGTTAAATTAATTACTTTAATTAGGCTAATTGAACTAATATTTATTTAATTGGGTTAATTAAATGGCCAATTGAATAATTAATTAGTTTAATTACTTAATTAAATGTAATTGGATGTTGGATTGTTCGGCCCGAGATGACGAAATATTTAATCGAGTTGGACCAGGCTGCTTGGATTAATTGGGTTGCATATAGCGGGTTTGACTTGGTCTTGGCCCACTAAAATTATATGTGGATTATATAATTTTGAGGAATTTGGATATTTGATATTATTTGGAAATTTGATGAAATCATGAACCTGGACGCAATGGTGTCCCGATACGTTCCTTAATTTAATTAAAATAATTAAATTAAGTAAGGAATTAAGAGTTGGTTGGAGATTTTCCCTCACCCTCACCACTATAAATAGTGGTTTCATTTTCAAGAATGGGAGCTTTGAAAATCTGCATACTGAAGCTCTGCCGAAGTCTCGCCAGGATATCGTCTGGAACACGCCCGCAGTTGTGCTGCGTATACCGTGCTGAGGAACACGCCACTTGAACACCAGAAGCCCTTCTTTGAAGATCAAGCTGCATATTAGCCCTTCATTGAGGAACAAGCTACCAACTCCGGAGGCCCTTCAGCAAGGAACTACTCCAGTTCGGCCATACTCCCGAACTTGGCATACTTCCAGTTCAACATACTTTGAACTCGGCACACTTCCAATTCGGCATACTCCGGATTCGGCATACTTCAAGTTCAGCATACTCTGAACTCAGCACACTTCCAATTTGGCATATTCCAAATTTGACACACTTCTAACAGGTATACTTGTAGTAGAGAATCAGAAGACTTCTCATATACAGAGATTGTACCCCTTCCCGTTTGATATATACTTGATACTACTTGTAACCGATACTTTGAATTTTGAATATATACAATTCAAGTTTTTCGCGTTTACAACGACGATCCACATGAGTTCCGTTCGACCACTGCGAATTCCTCTTCGGCACAACAGAATCCTTCGCTGGTTTAAATTCTCTTTGCAACAGCAATTAATCCTAGACTAAAGCTTGGAGTTCACAACTTGCTTATTTATTTAATTCATTAGTCTATTCAATTTTTTTTTTTCACAGAAAAACAAACAAATTTTGAAAACCTTCTACTTTTTGGAAAAATGTATGAAGTTAATTCTAATATGGATTTGGCTTTTCAAATGTCTGAGTTAGCAAAACAAATGGAAAATATGTGTTCTATGTAGGGATGGCAACGGGGCGGGGCGGGGGCGGGGAATGGGGTCCCCGTCCCCGTCCCCGAAATGTCCCCCCATTCCCCGTCCCCGCCCCGTTCCCCGGCGGGGATGGGGAATTATTCCCCATCCCCGTCCCCGCGGGGATTTTTCGGGGACGGGGAATCCCCGCCCCGTTTTGATTCATGCTTACTTTTTTTTTTTTTTTTTTTTTTATTTTAAAAAACACACATAATATAATATGCATTCTTAACAAAACTAGAGAAACACAGTTTTGTTAAGGAAAAATCTTAAATCGCTAAGATGAAAAAAAAAATCATCTACTAATACCATGAGAATATGCAGAGATAGAGAATGAAGAATATAATACATTGATGTTCAATAATAATTTAAACAAATAAACATAGCCTATTTATACAAGATATATGTACGGTATTACGGTAACAATGAACATAAAATGTATGTACCTAAACTAGAATACTAATTACATGGAAATTCAAGAATATGATTAAATATATACAAGAGAGATATTAATTTATATATAATATTAATATTATTAGTCAGGGATTCGGCGACGGGGCGGGGATCGGGGATCGGGGTCGGGGCCGGGGCGGGGAATGCCCTCCCCGTCCCCGTCCCCGTCCCCGGCGGGGATTGAAAAATTCCCCCCATCCCCGCCCCCGTTCCCCGAAATAAATCCCCGAACCCATCCCCGTCGGGGCGGGGAACGGTTTTCCCCATCGGGGGCGGGTTCAATTGCCATCCCTAGTTCTATGTTAGGTATGCATCAAGATAATTCATTTAGAAATAATAATGATTTTGGACTGGCTAATTCAATGCATGTTTTTAATCAACGGCCTATGCACGACCCGTTTTATAATTCTCATAATTCGGGTTGGGAAAATCACCCTAATTTTGGGGATGATAATCAAGATGATTTTCAACCAAATCATCTTGATTCTTCCTGGGGTAATAATCAAAATGACTTTCAACCAATTGACCCACCCCAACCTAAAAAAACATCTTTGGAGGATATTTTACAAGAGTTCATGCAGGTTTGCAATATTCATTATTTCCAACCTAAAAAAACAATATTTGGAAGATTCGCTGCAGGAGTATATACAGACTTGCAATATGGGGCAAGAAGAACATGATCAATGGTTCCAGATGCAACAAGAAGCTTATAAGCACCAAATGCAACAAGAAGCTTATGAGCACCAGATGCAACAAGAAGAGTTGAAGATGAACAACGATTCCAAGAAAATGAAGTTTGCTTTAAAAGATTGGAAGCACATTTAGAGCAAATTGCTAAATTTGTGCAAGGGCATGTGCCAGGTAAGTTACCTAGTCAACTTGAAGAGGCTAAGACTATGAGAAGTGGTGAAATGATTGAAAACAAGTTACACGATAATACCGACTTTATATGATAATTGAAAATTTGCATAATGATGTTGATGATATTATTGTTGAAAAAGATGAGGCTCAATTGCATATATCTGATAATTCTTATGTGCCTCCCAAGCTTTATGTGCCCCCAATCCCTGTTGATGAAAATATTGAAAATACAAGTGGAGGCAAATTCTTCCCAGAGAGTCTTGATCTTGATGACTCCGACGGGATCAAACCCAGATGTTCTGATCGATGATCACGTGGGTGATCTGATGGCAGATTGCATCCATTTTCCATAAATTGCTCCGTAGTTTATCAAAATTTTCAGATCGGTGAATCTGGAGCGAGACTAAGAGATGATCGAAGGAAGCCGATTCTGGTTCTCAAGATGGACACCGGACTAGAGCTCCAATAGAGACACGCCATTAGCACTGGTATGGTTTCAATTACCAAATTTGTCATTTCATTTGTTCAATTTCGAGAGTATATCATGCATCTGTGCGCCGGTAGGAAGGGCGGTAACCCTAGACTCGACGACGAGTCGACGATCTAGGCCAAATCTGGCCAAAGTGAGAATTGAATTAGATGTATTGAAACCTAAAATTGATAGAATATGGGTGGAATTTGTGGATGGTGGAGGCAATTTGAGAGGTTTTTTGCAGCAAATCGTGAGGGAGAAGGTGCCGGCGTACTGTGTCTGTTATAGTAGGTTTGGACATTTTGTGGGGAGTTGCTGATCAATTGAAGAGAGGAACGAAGAGGAAAATGGAACCCAATCAATGAAAGGACAACTTTAACCCTGAACTTGACGCTTAACTAACGCTAAGATGACAGAAGGACTAACATTGGAAAGATTTCGAAAGTCAAGTATCTAAATTGTCCAAATTAA